AATTCATCGTCTTTCTAAATTTTAACGCGTCTTAGGGCCGTAGTGCGGTAGTGACACTTTTCCGGACATGGGTCCCTATACTCAAATGTTTTCTACTGTTGCACTGAATAACCCCTAGAAGTTTGATCCCATAGTTCTGAAACACCCTGTATTTTTTCAGATATGATTTATAAATTATAGACAGTAGATGTAACATTCACAAGTAATGAAAGAGTTAACAAATGCACAACGTATGTTACATGACAATATCGCGCGCATGCAACCTCATACGCGGAAACGAGAACTGTTCATTGAACATTTGTTTAATGTCAGAAGGATTTTAATTTAACTAGTAAAAAAAATTAATACGCGTCTTATGCCACGTCAACTTTGCGGTTAGAAATATTGCGTGCAACTTCTGACGCATTGAGCAGAAATTATAATGAATCGTGATCGTTCTTAGCATACATTTGAATATTGTGTACTTAAATTTATCGAAGTGAAAACACGTGTAAAATTCGAACTACACATTATAAGAGCAATTACGGCGAGAACACATGGAAAGCAAAAGCGTTAAAAGTCACGAGGAGAATAATTGTTTGGTAATACGAAATAAATTAACTAATCTGCTATGTAAAAAAACAGTATTCGCAGTAATCAATGAATCGATGTGCGGCGTGCGAGTTCACAGAGGCTTGACCGGCTTGATCAAAAGATTGATTTCTAAAAGCGTTAAACGTTGCGAAGCTATATTTTTTTATTAAAACCTAGACGACGTAATACGTCTTTTATTATTAAAAACTTAATTTTAAATTTGTCACATACGCTTTCGTAATGTTCGACGCAAACAGTATCGATCGCGAACGAGTTATTTTTTCGTCGCGCTTGATACTAAACCGTAAACCTTTCAGGAACCGACAAACGCAGGAGCATCGATCACAATTCTGAGGGATGGATCGAAATTAATCGATTCTTATCGACACAATTACATCCATTGACAATTTGCGTGTTTCGCGATAAATGCGAAACGGTTTGTATAAAAAGAAGCCAATGTATTTCTGTGTGTGCGTCATCGTCCCGTCCCGTTTGCTCGGGACAAAAAAATGTTTCGCAGAAAATGTGGGACGAGAATGTCCAAAATGAGTTGCACTGGCAACACGTGAGCCGTTCAACATAGTATATATATATATATATATTTCGCACCGTGTGTGATAAGACGGAAATATAATTTATTGTGCGTGCGCGATCATATATATACAACATCATGGTTACCTTGGACACTGAGCAGAAGCCCGAGAGGCAGCACTGCGGCCGACGCATGTGCGCCATTTGCAGACGCATCAAACGAGATAAAGGTAATGAGCGACACGATTTTTATCTTAATGCTGTGTTACGTCGCGACCGTTTAGCGTCGTAAAGTAATATTTAAAAGTATGTATTTCTAATCTTTTTTTCACCTTCACAATTGGAACAACTCACGAACACAATTCACTGTCAGCGGAAAAATAAAAGTGCGGACCGATGATATCCTTCGAACCGCTTTATACATACAGTGTTTAAAGCGAAACTAGTTGTCTGCTTGATTCGTTAACATTGACAATTCGACGAACGGATTTGCCTTGTTTCGCTTGGAATTTTAAGAATTGTCATTAAGGCGGCTAATTATGGCGTTTTCTTTTCTCTTGCGCAATAATTCACAGCGTTGCACAGGGAGACAGAGAGCGAAAATAAAACGCGTGACAAAACGTTTTGCAATTTATAACAAAGGACATCTCTTTCTCCCTTCTCATACAAAAATAAACCTACAAGATTAACTTTCCATTAAACAAAAAGTATAATCCAGTGCTAGTAGAGTCTTATTATATTATGACATTTTTTAATATTCACTGCAGTTTTCTGATCGTTCGCTTTGTCATTTCTAAAAAAGAAATATCGAAAAGACAACAAGACACTTACGCGAGGCTGTCGACTTACACGTATTACGGAGTTACGAATGCGTGCCGACGCGATTCGAAACTGGTTCGTCCTCCTTTGCAGTTCCCCACGTTTGTACTCGTCCTCGTTGTTTCATGCAAATCGCTCGTTAGTCGAAACACCTGAAATTCTCGTGTGGGACGCATACATTGTGTGTGTATCTTTCTCGCTCTCTTTCTCTCTCTCTCTCTCTCTCTCTCTCTCCCTCTCTCTCTCTCTCGACGCACACACGAGACTCCATGGATTATTCATCCCCGTGGCGTATTCGTGTTAAGGTGACAGACTGACTGACGGACTGACGAAGGAGGAAAGCTAAGGAACGTAGGGAGGTATCCTTTGCGCCTCGGGATAATGGCTGTCCGTCTTGTTCGATACGTCAGTGCGAGAGAATCGCGCGGGATACATTTTTTTTCGTAGCAAACTCAACCCTCCAGTTAATTATTTTCCTGCCGAGAAATAAATCGGATCCTATTTCTCTCGAAGATAATAGAAGTTGTCTGACATCTCTCTCTTTCTCTCTCTCTCTCTATCTCTTATGTACCTTTAAGTAAATAAAATTCAATAATGTAATCGATATGTGGTCTTAGTACTTTATGTAGATAAAAATAAGTGCATTAGTTTTTTAGAAGTTCACTAAATTATCAATTAATTTCTAAACTGTAATATTTGATCGCGTGAGTTGTTGCAGGATTTTGTAATTGTAAACAGAGTTATCTCTTAGCATTTGTCCGAGGTATTTATACAAAGAGAAATCCCTTGGAGGCGTGAAGGGGCGCTGACGAAATAACGCGCGCGCGCGTGAATGAAGGAAACGCGCTGCGCGGTTTCATTCATCCGCGACGCGCACGCAACCGCGTAATCGCAGTCAAATAGGCGAGCGAACACGTTCGATTTCACGAACAACCTTGCTCGATGCCTGAGCAGTTATGGCAGGCGTGACTAGGCCGGAGGTCCCGATTATGATAAAGCGCGTGGGCGAACCCACACTCGCCCTTCGCTCGTTCATTCATAAATTCAACTCTCACCGCGAGCGCACGAGCGCGCGCGCGCGTGTCTTTCGGTGGCTCTTGCGTTACACCTCGTTGCTCGATCAGGCGTGTCGTTTCTCAAATGGCACCGTTCCATCCGCTCGAGATCCATTCGAAATATGTACCTCTTTCGAAAAACAGAAAAGCGTAACGCACAAAAAAAAAATCAGAAAAAAAATAAAGAGAAGAAATTTTTTTCTTAAAAATGCATATGAATGTCAAATTAGATGATTGGAGTAGATGAATATTTATCACAACGGGTTATATTTATTGTTTCAATGTTAGCGATCGAGTATTACGTTGAATGTATTGAAATTAGTACGAAGTATGTAAGTGAGATTTGTTAAATGGCACGCGATAAACAATAAGCGGCGAATGGAAATTGACGAGTCTGATGATAGAATTATATTTATTTTTACTCCCTCGCAGTTTTCGATTAATTCTATGATTAGAGATGTCGCATACATTTGAGAAACGTGCTCTAAAGCGGAGCAATCGGATAAACATATATGGATTTGTTTGCTGGATTCTACGGCGAATTAACCGATTGCGCACAAAAAAAAGTCGATTGCAGGTTTTCCAAAGTGCAAAAGTTTCAGAATCGGCGCGCATGATTATGCGACGGTCTATTTCTAGAAACGTGCCGTAGATACTAATTATTTTTTATCAAAATCGTTGCCGCTCGTCTTTGGCGAACAGCCGAAGTAAGAAGCCAAGATGATACGGAGACGCAGAAGAAGCATCTGAAACATACGAATCTTAAGATATCGAGTCTTCGGGAGAAAGAAAAACGAGGTCGGATACTCAGAGTAGAAGGAGACATGCAACAAAGAGAAGAGGACACGCCGCGAAGATGCGAGAAAGAGAGAACGCAATGGAGAACGGTGTGTCTAAGAAAATAAGCGTGCTTGATATCACGAACGAGATGCGTAGAGAGAGAGGCGGAGAAACAATTGGCATTCTGCACGCACGTCCGATCGGAAGGACGAAGGGACGAGGTAAGGGTGGTAACTCCGATGCGGAGGGAACGCGGAGTGAACGCAACGGTGGCATGCACCTGTGCATTGCCGCCATATACGACGCGGAGTTATGGCGTTTTTCTCCACGTATGTGCGCTCGTATACGCGTATACGTTCGTACACGATCGTATCTCAACCGGCGAAACCAATTCCATTTCTGGAACGGTTTGCGTCCGTCCGTTCGTTCGTCCGCACGTCTGTATGTTTGTCCGCGAACGAACGATCTCGAGACCGCCCTGCGCGGCGAGCTAAATTAATTGTTTGCGAAGCGTGTGCGTAACCGCACGCACGCACGCACGCTCGCGATCGCATCGCGATTGCATCGCGGAGAAAAACGTAACGAACGGGAGAGACGCGAGAGAACGGAAAACGCGCGCTCCGTGTTTATTAGACACGCTAGACGAGTTCGCTCGACGCCGTTTTTCCGCCAGCAATGTCTCGCTTTCCGCGGTAAGCAACACTGCGGAAACGAGGTTTTCACTTCCCTCCTCGTTTCTCTCGCCAAGAAACTCTGTTGTTTTTTTTTTTTTTTTTTTTTTTTTTTCGTGAGAAGTGACTCGAAAACGTGTGTACGCGCAACTGTTCGATCTTACACTGTTGTGTAAAAACGCAACGTCAGAGATTTGTTACAAATGAGATGGTCGTTTCTTTTCACATTTTGCCGAGATCTTACTCTGCACATCATAAATCATTTCAAGCTGAAAGTTGTTTTATATATAAAGTAATAATAGAGAGTGTAAATACAATAGAATGTGCATACAATATATATACTATATATCACTTTTGTTTTCACGTTCTCACATCATCTCCGAATGCCGGAAAAATGTCGAAGACAAACTTAATGAATCGTATGAAAACAATGTAGTTATCAGATTTCGCTTCCGTCTTACCAAAAAGCCAAGTCAGCGTGTTGACGAAGTGGCTGAGCAAAGTGTGTGTCTACCTGGCGTGTGCCTCCTTTACCTCCGCGGCTCCGGAGTCGGAGCGTAGTTGTGGGTGTAACCAGTTTCCCGTGGGCTTAGCTGTCAAGCCCACGTGGGCCGCCCACGCCGGTCAGATATATTACTACGTCGTAAGAGAAAGAAGAATGACGGCGCGCGACGGAGTCGCGAAGGGGAGCCGAGGAAAGAGAAAGAGAGTGGCAAGGAAACCTTCAGGATGAGAGATGCGGCTTGCGACACAGGAAACAGTTTTACCTGGAGGGGCGAACGAGCGAGCCGCGCAGCATCCAGCGACGTGTAACTAAGCGGACACGTGGGTGGATGTATGCACGATGCACGCGCGGATATCGCGTTCTTCAAAACTCGCGAGCTTTTCGTGACTCTCTACGAGAGGCTGGATAATGATTGCCGAAGCAAGTTGTTTAGAATCCTGACGCGCAATCACGAAGACATTTTACCATCTCTCAAATCGAGTCTTGAAAATTAGCAAGAGTGCACATTTGTAAAAGACGAGAACTATCTATTGCGTTGCGATGATTTGTCAAATTTATTGTTCGAATAGATAATTTTTATTATACATCTTTGAACATCAAGCGGTAGCGTCTCGCGCGCTAAATATATTTATTTTTTACAATTAGATCATAGAAAAGCGTAAACTGCATCTACTCCGCCCGAATAAATTTCTACGTATAAAAAACAACGTCGAAATCGACGTTTTCAGTTTAAAATTACAGAATTGTGATAGAAAACGTGTATCATTTGCACGAACTATTTTTTCAACCATCAATTATTTTATCTATTATTGTTAGAGAAAAACACTGTTTCGGAACACTAATTACACCACTAAAAAAACCTTAGATTTTTACTTTATGCAATATTAAAAAATTGTTCAAATTGGTCTACCCAATTAATCCAAAGTTATTGAGTTTTCTTTAGTATAGGTTTATTTAAACCTATTTTTTCTTTTTTTTTTTATATGTAAAAGACACACGTGTGTTTCTCTTTTATCGAAGTGCTTAAATCTGCACGATTTTCTATATTTCGCTACTTCGTACACTTTGAGAAATCTAACACCACATCTCTCTGCGGTTATCTCGCCTTTTAAACAACAATGATGATTGCGCGCAAATTGACTCTTTCGATCAGTTGGCACTTGTTCACGTAATAATCCTTGCAAAATTGTGCAAGAACGCCATAGCGTGAGTGAGTGAGCGATGTAACACGTGGAGCGTTTTGCCGGCGATTCATTTCTCACAATCGCTAATTAATATGCCTCAGGAAGAGAAGTGAGTCGCGTCTGTTAGGTGACAGGTGTTTATCGCGCAAAAAAGATTGATTTACCAGCGCGACAGTTAAAAGCAAACGTTTGAAACAATGCCAAAGTACCGATTTC